TTGAATCATTCCTGTATATACAGAACCAGGATGTGTGAATAATTTTGACTCATTTTTTTTTACCCCAAAATATGGGTGTTTAGTTTCCAACTGCAGACTCATTCAACAAGGATAATTATTTAAGAAGCAACAGAATAAAATTTATTTCACTTCAAATGAATTATGACTCACATTGGGTGTCTATGTCCAGTCAACCAATGATTTAAGAATAACATGTATGCTTACTCTTTCAGTTATCTTCCTTTCCAATGTTCCATAATGGTTGGTGTAACTCCTTTTGATACTAGTTGAGATTAAATATAGTGGTGCAGCTAGTCTAATGGTTAAAGGTGTGAAGAATAGGATTGGCAAACCAAGTTCAAACTCTGGCCAAGACATTTTGCATTCACTTTACACTAAAGATCTTGGGAAAAGCATGAATCTTGTTCTTTCCACAATCCTGGGTAAATAACAAAGCAGTAGAAGCTCTTTAACTTTATAAAAGTCAACCATCTTGGCATTCAATAATAAAACAGATCAGGGATTGTTCCTTGCTGTTGATAGCATGTAAACAAAATTGTCACATTTGAAGAGGAAATGGGTGCTGCCAAGTAATCCCCATTGTCTTGAGAGATGCTTTGAACAGAAATTACTCACAGTGACATCCCATAATCGAGAAACATCCTTGTTCATTTAATATATTCTTCAACTAGCTATACCCCAAAATATACAGAGGTTATGTTTTTAAAAAAATAAGTATTAACTCAAATTGCCTTCAATGGAAACCCCTCCATCTCTTCCAGTTGACCAAGTATAGTTGCTCTTGTACTGGATTTAAGAAAATTCAATCTCAGTCAAATGCCTCTTTTCTTCAACTAAGAATCTTAATTTGTCAACCTCAAAACACATGATGTTCACCTTTGAATCTGATAGTAGTTTGGGTTTGATTTTGTCTTTGAATGCTAATCTTTTTGAAGCACACTTATGCATGAAAGAATCTAGTGTAGTGGTTATTGGTACAGAAAGTGTAATCAGCAAGTCAAGTTCAAATTCCAGGCTAATCTACTGAGTTCGCTTATGCACAAGTGTCTATGGGAAAGGTATGAATCCATCTTCTCACCCTTCAGTTATGGGTTAAATAACAGGGTAGACTAAGTTCTCTAGCTTTGAGTCACAACCAATCTAAGACAACGAAAATTCTGACTTCAAAACTGTGGAGAAGCCAATAAGACACCACTCCTCTATCTTTCCAAAGAAGTCATGGCAATTCACAGATAATAAAGAAAAGGTATCTGTGGAGAGCCATGATCACCTATATCTTAAATCAGTGTTTCTCAACTTTTTTAAAGCAACAGCACACCTAGGAGCAAATGAAAATATCACGGCACACTTAGCAAAACTTTTGAACAGTATATATTTAAATGTTATTAAATAAAACCATAGATTTAAAAAAAATACACAAATATGAACTTACTTTATTTCAGTATTTTTATTCAACTATTTCTGCAGCTTATTTAGTGTGCCTGATGTTTAATATAACTGAAGAATAGTGAAAAGAATTATTTGAAAAAAAAGTTTAATACTTATTCATTTATTAAAATACTAATGCCGTACTATTGCTACTTCCGAACATACATATATATGTATGCTGTGATAGTTGAGAATCACTGTCCTAAATGGACAAAATTAAAAGAAACTCATGCATTCAACACAAATAGTTAATATTTACTATGCTTATCTTAGTCTTTTAAGAAATTACTAAACAGGAGGGTCACCCATGTGGATTAAACTCTCTACACTAGTAACAATTTTGCTAACCACTGTCCTATAGCAGGTGTTTGTGAGATGTTCAATTAGAAGTTGTGGTGGAACAATTAAAATTTTCAGACAAAAGAACAATTTCTTAAAAAGGCATTTAGTCACTTATTCTGTTTTATTTACCACCTAGAATTCACCTACTGAAAGAAAAACATTATACCAGAAGTTTTATATTCATACATTTGTTCATACCTACCTATGACACATATAAAATTTCTTATACTCTCACAACATTGCTTTTATTGTCACATATTACCTTGCTACTTATAAATCCAGTAATAATTCAAACAAACAGAAGAAAAAATATATATCATTTAATATCAGTAAATAAAGCCCAATGAAAAAAATTTCAGATTAGAATTTACTTGCCAGTATTTAAACAGTATATATTTTGCCAGTATATACTTGCCAGTATTTAGCCATAGACAAATTTTCAATTTGAAAGTAAAATAAAAACATCCTTTCTCATCAATTATTACCCAAGTCAACATTATTCACCATGTTTTATCAATGTTTCATAAAGATTTAAACTTTCTGTAATAATATGAACATATTAAGGATGAGAATTTTAATCTTCTGGTTTAATTCTAATCTTGTGGATTAATGACACATTACATGACATCTTACTGACACTAGTGACTGAACTCTGTCTGAACTTCTAGGATGAGGAGTTATCATTATTTACATTTAATCTAATGTCCTCATCTTTGTTGCTATTATCACAATGTTTCAGCTGTTATGCCCTTCAGGCTTCATCAGGTGCTTGTCGATCTGGGTAACCTTCAGTGAATTTTGCAAGTTAAGTTTAAGGTTCCAAGCTCTTCACTCAGTATTGTCCCATGGTTTGTGAATTTGGTGAAATAATAATTGTGAGTTCAATCCTTGGGCTGGGCAATGTGTATTTGGACTCAGTGGAACTGGAGCAAACAATAACTGAGCAGCACTAAATTGAAACGAGATGAAATATCCCAAGACATGGTCAGTGGAACAAAAATAATCTACCCTCATAGATTGAATTAAAAAATTCCCGCATGTAAATAGAAATTGAATTCAATCAACACTGAACTTGTAAATGGTACTTAACTGCATACTTGTAAAATCTATTGGTATAATAGTACTTAGGGAGAAATCCAAGATTTTAAGCTGAATGCAGTTCAAATGGAAAATTTTATGGAAGATATAATTTAGAAAAATTTTATGGAAGGCATTGATAAATGTCTTAGTAAGAATTTTCAAAATTCAGTTCAATTATGCTTTGCCTGAGTTGCAGTGGCATGTTCAAAAGCCTCCAGATAATTAAGAAATTCATAAATAAAATATTCATGTCTATCTTTTCAATCAATGTTCCAAAGTTTTATTTTGTGTGTCGTATAAACAAATAAATGAAAAACAAATGAGTGTATGTGCTGCTTTTAAACAAGAGACTTTGGTAAACAACTGTTTTTCCTATTCATCATTACTGAAAGTTCATCTTGTTGATATGTATATATGCTTTTCACACCCAGTAAAATTCTGCTCAGATATGACAAAAAAAAAAAATATTAAAAAAACAAAAAATTAAAGATAAGACCAGGTCTTTAATGCCAAGAATTTATAGGCATATAAATAACTAGCAGTAGAGCCCGGCGTTGCCCGGGGATGTAACAGTAAGAGATAGATCAAGTATCAACCATCATAAAGACTGAAAAATAAAATTGACAAAGATTATTGTTTAAGGTTGATGGACACATGTCTTAATTAGTTTTTTTTTTTTGTTTTTTTTATGAATTGGTCAAACCCAAACTCAAACAAAAACATTGTTTTCAATCGTTATGAGTCTATCGATTGAATAGAATTTTATTATAAACAATTGTCTTGTAAATGGAATTTTTAAAGCATTCTGAATGTAAAAATAAAGTAAAAAGTGTGCAAGACAATAAGAAACACTACCTGCCAAAAAAAAGTGAAGTTTTGTTGAAATCGGTTGAAAAATGTAGGAAATCCGATCCCATATATAAACAAACACAGACACACACAAACAACCTGGGTTTTATAATAAGTATAACTTGATATAAGTTGTCCCCCTTTCATTCTGGCGACAGAATCGTGTTTTTATCGTGTTTTCAAATTGATTTCATGCAAAAACAATTGTGTTTTTCCTATTTTTGGTGCTGTCAGAACCACCGCAACGTAATTTTGTGCAGTCCTGCAAAGTTTTGTTGAAATCGGTTGAAAAATGTAGGAAATCCGATCCAATATATAAATGTACAGACACACACACACACACACACACAATCTGCGTTTTATAATAAGTAAGATTACAGTTTGTACTGATACAAGACTTAGATAGTTCCTCTCATTCCCTATCAAACATTGGGCTCATTTTTAATGTTTCCTTCTCCTAGACTGGTTGCCACCCAGGGCTATAGGACCCAGTCTGTCCAGTTATTTTACCCATAACTGGGGGTAAAGAGATGAATTCATACCTTTCCCAAGGTTATTAGCATGTAAGTGAATATAATGAAATCCACTGGAATTTGAAATTGGCTCTTTCGATTCCTCAACCCGAACCACTAATTATTACTACACCATGCCTCCACAAGACTTTATTTGATTGTAATAGAAATTAACATTAATGCTTTGAGAGTTTGTTTTGTAAGAAGAATTTTCAACAAACTACTACTTTGTCCAGAGATAATAAAAATTTTAAATTTTGTTCCAATTAAACAATACCTCTTGGTTGATAATTTTCAGTGTTTATTAACTTGCATGAACATTTTCACATTTAATTTTTTTTTAAATTTTTTATATGAAAGGCTAACAGTTCAATGTTTACTTATTTAAAATGAACATATATTACATTTAAAATAAAACCTATATTGAATAATTAAATATTTTATTAAATATATAAAATATTTGAAATATATATTACATTTAAATTTTCAGTTCAATTGATAAAGTTTTATTATAATTATATATATCATTTATTATCTAGTAAAAATAACTTTTCAGGTTTTATTTTTTTTAAATAAGTTAATAAGTTTTCTTTTATTTCTACTGACTATCAGGAATTAAATTCCTTATTCTGGAGAAATGGAAAGAAAAAATATCTCCCAAATTTCTCAAACGTTAACAGAAAAAAAAAAATCTGATTCTACAAAAATAAATAAATCTTTGATGTCATATTACTTTCACAACAAGATGAGGCAGCATTTTAATCTTAGCTAAAATATTCTCTTACATAACTCAAACTCGAGTGGCTTCTTTACCACTATCGCCAAAATCTATTTCTTACATCACCGCTTTCTCTACCCCCACCCCTCCAAGGAACGAACCCTCAGCTGTAGACATTACCCTAGCTATCCCCTATCCTTCAACTTTTCCCCTTTTCTTCCTACCCGCTTCTAAAGCTGAAATTAACGTCCTTAGTTAGTGACGGTATCCGGCAGAGGTCTCCACTGGTTCTGCTCCATCCAACTGCTACCTTCTTCTTCTTCGTGTGCGTGTGTGTCATCTTTTTCCATATAACTGACTTGTGTTCATTTGCGTTCGGCTCTTTAACACCGCAATGGCACTGGCGTGGACGATAAGGTTGTATCTGGGTATGATTTTCTGAGAGAGAGAGAGAGAAAAGAGAGAGAGAAGGTTAGAAGGGGTAGATAGATTGGGAGAGAGATATAAAGAGATCCTGCCTGATCGTCTCCCTCCTGCTTGCGCTCACTCCTTGCTCTCCCTTATTCCTTGTTCTCCCTTATTCCGTGCTCTCTCTCTCTCTCTCTTTCTCTCTCTCTCTCCTTGCTCTTCGCCAAGTACGCACACACTTCTACCTCCTCCCACCGCCACTTCTAATACCCTTAGTATCATTCTAGTTCCTCCCACCACCTCTGCAAGTAATAGAACAAGGTACTTCTACCTACAGGACGGACGGAGCTACCTTAACAGTCTTTCCTTCTCTCTTTCTTTCTTTCTCTCTTTCCTTTCTCTCTCTTTCTTTCTCTCTTATTTTAACTAGTCACTGCCTGCCTGGACTTCTTGTGGCTTGGAGAGACCCTGGTGGCGTGCTAGGTGCAAATCGCACTCCTTATAGTCTCAAAGAAAAAGCCTCCTGCCGCCACCCGTTTTACTTGAAAGGATGCAAAAACTTCGATTATTAATCGACTAAACACATTGTTGTATATCTCACATCTGGACATACTATAACAACAACAACAGCAGCAGCAGTAACAACAACATACCCCCCCCTAAAAAAAAGATACATCTCTATACACACGCAAAAAAACGTACCTACACACACATACATATTAGTACGGCATCATGCATGGTAAGTAATACTTATTGCCTATATTCAATACAATTCCAATAAATTTTTTCTCTCTTCTGTTTTAACCGCCATCCTATTTATTTTTTTCTTCTCTGGAGACTAACAAGTAAAATCTTATTCTTGTGCGGTATGTACATGGTGTCAGGAAATGGGGGTCCAATTTGTAATAAGAAATATATTATAAATTGATCCCTTATTTTATGCCCGCCTAGAATCTTTGAGACTTGCTGCCCCTATACTACTTAGTTAAAAGTAATACAATCTATTCTATTATTATTAAACATTGTATGTCTGTATTTTTGTTTGCATGTACCTTCAGACGTTATTTAACTGGTTTGGTCAATAATAGTCTTTAACGATGGATATTTCTGGTTGGTACATCTTTGCTTCCAAATACAAAAGATTTATCTATATACATTGTATATTGGGTGCGTGTGTGTACATACAACACTATATTCATCATTAGAAAGACCGAGTCTCTAGCAGCAGTGGCAAAAGCAAAAAGCACCATAACACGTTGTATTTATTTCCAGTGTTCGTATTTTGACTATTTATTATTCTTATTAGATTGTATTTATTTGTCCCAAATTATCTGAAATGTTTAAATCTATATTTTTAAAAATCTACCAAATCCCTAGCAGCAGTAATTTTAGGTAACTTTTTCCTTGTCCCTTAAATGGGGGATCAATCCGAAGAACATTTTATGTAGTAAAACAATCCCCCGTGAAAATTTAGGGGGGTTGGAAATGTAGAAAGAATTTTATTTAACACTTATGTGGGATTCCAAAATTTTATGATCCTGATATAGATAAAGTTGTTTTGAGCAGTAATTAGCAAAGAATTGGTGTGAATTTGCAGGAATTCTTGGAGACTGCGATTGATGTTGTTTAAATGAAGAATGGATGTTGTTTATTGTTGTGATGATGTTGTTGTTGATTTGCTACTGCCATTCTTCTGAGCTACACTTTGAGATTTGTTATGTTGTCCTTATGGAATCAGGAACTTTCACTTTGGTATTGTTTATTTTTCTGGGTAGGTTTGGGGTGGAATCTGGAGTTTTGGGGATTATTTTTTTCCTTTAAAACTACTTTTAAGCACGTGTATCACAAACATGTGGTCAGTCTTGTGTCCTTATTTTTTTTTTTTTTTTTTTTTTTCTAATATTAGTCGAAAGAATATCTCGAAATCATAGCTTCACTAGTAAAGAGAAACACTTAAAGAAAAATTCTACACTCGACGTCTCTTCTCTTTTTTTCCCCATCCTATCGTCATTACTTCTCTTTGTTTATCAAGGACAAAATTATTTATAAAAAACAAACAATGTTAGCTAGTGTTTTGGTTTTTCATTTTATTCAACATTAGGGACTGAGAAGTCAAAAAAAAAAAAGAATAAAGTAATTTCTCACTGATAGATTTTTTTTATTAAGGGGGTGGGGGAATTTTTCCCCTTACTGCTGCTACAAATAAAAAGGAAATAATAATGATTGTTGTAATTATTTATATTAAAATGATAATTCTATTGAGCAAATTTTGTAATTTCAACCATAAAACACTAACTACTAGTCTAAATATAAAAAAATGAAAAAAAAAATTTTCTCTACATAAATAAAAAAATGCTTCTTGCTTGTGTAGTTGTGTTTAGCAGTAGTAGTCACTAATTTTTCTTTCAATCTCTTATTTTTAAACAGCAGGTCTTTATTTCCTCTATAATTTTAAGAAATAGATCTTATTTTGATTAAAGAATGACAGTCCTTAAAGATTGTTGTTATGTTATGTATTTATTATTTTGGGCAAATGTTTGACACTGCCCCCTTCATTTTTGTGCACACCCACCCACCCAACATTGAAGATCTTCATCATCGTCTCTGTTTCGACTACTATCCAAAAGAGGGAATTCAGTCATGGAAAACAGAGGCAACACTTCCTTGTTCTTCAGGAACAAACTGTGACGTACATAACATTGTTGTTTACTACTAAATCGCTAACTCCATGCATTTCGTCGGGATATAGAAAAGTGACTATATACTATAGTAATTAATAACATTCCTCTATCTTCATTAAAAGCATAATAATAGGTATTCCTCTCCCTGGGGTCAGCTGTAAATTCTATATTTAACTGTCTTTCATGAACTCCTTGCTTTTTCTTGAGAGGGAGATATTGTTATTTTTTATTTATTTATTTTTTATTTTTTATTTTCACTAAATAACGCTGGCCCCTTTTACATGATGAATATATCATTCAGGTATTTCCCCAAAGCATTCACACCATCTGTTGACGCGATTTTAAGGTCAAAGTGAAAAATATTTTGGTCGGAAAAATAAACAACGAAATGAATCATTTTGTTCAGAATTAAATAACAATTTTTTTTCTTGTTTTTTTTTTTTAATTTTATTTATTTTATTTTTTTTTAAATCTTACTGTAATATCTTGTTCTTAATAATAAGTAAATAATATTTTTATATTTCCTTTTCTTTTAACACTACTTAGACTCTGGCATCAACAAATAATTTGAACTTGAATCATAAAAAACTCAATTTATTATTGTTGTTTTTTTTTGGTAGCAATCCCCCCCACCCTCAAATGTTGACGTGATGTTTCCTGAGGAGAAACCTTACAATTTTGAATCAAATTTATCGTCGATAGTGATATTACCAGTATTGGTAGTTTATCGTCATTTTATATATATATTTTTTTCAGTAAATTATCCTCTTTCCTTTTTCTAAACTCTATGGTATGGTACCTTCTGCCATTTTGAAAATTTTGGTAGTTTATATGAAAATTGTTGTATAAAAATGACCAAAATATTTTTTGATTCTCAATATTCAGAAGTCCCCCTTCGTTTTTTTATTTAATATATTTTCCCTTTGCAGCAAGATTATACAATTCTGTTAAAATATTGATACTAAAATTAATTGCAACCATTTTATTTTTATTATTTCAATATTTTTTCACCTGAAATATTTTCAAGTTTTGTTTGCGCCCCCCTCCAATTATTTATGTTGCGTGTGTCTGGGAATTTTGATTTTAGATTTCAAAAATTTTGGTCGGGAGTTAAAATTTATTGCATATTTATTTTTTTCATATTTTTATTAGTCTCTGTGGTTTTTTTTTTTTTTTTTTTTTCACAATTTTTTACATAAATAAATAAAATTAGCAATATCAACAAGCATGAAAAGGAATTTTTTAATTATTAAGATATTTTGAATCCTTCTTAAACCAAGATTATTAATTTCTCTTCTCCCCAAATTTCGATCGACATATTCTCCGGCCACTGTTTTGAGTAGCAACAACGTAACTCTTCTATGGGAGTTATTTCTTCCCCTCGGGTTTTACCCTTCTTCTTCCTTCATGTCTGTATTCATGAGACTGACAGATCATCTCTACTCTACAGCATGTCATCTGCTGGAGAGAATTGTAAAAAGTGAAGACTAATGCCATGGACGGAAATAACAACAACAAAGATAGGGATATTAGTTGGAATTTGATGGAAATCGAAAAACTTCACCTGTGAAATTTAAGACAGAATGCAGTAGTAGTAGTGGTGGTAGTAGTAGTAGTAGTAGTAGCTGCATGGTGTTTTAATGGGTCAACGTGTAAGGTCAGCTTGTTGTATCAATCTATAAAGAAGGCGGATTGTTTGTTTGGCAAACCTTGAGATTTTTTTCACCAGTATATATCAGTTTATATATGAATTATTAATTTTACTTAACAATTCAAAAATAAATAAATCGAGGTCTCTTCTTTGGGAGAAAGAGGTTGCAAAGATAAAAAAAAATCTCCCACGAATCTCTCACGAATCTAAATTTAAAGACTTACATATTCTAACAGAAATATTGACAAGTGTTTCAGGTTGTGGGTGGGTGAGAGAGTCAGAGAATCCTGAAAAACAGTTTTTTGGTTTAATTTCCTCTCCTACGATGAATTTGGTTGTCAAAATAGAACATACCAAACTCAGGGCTTCATGACCCTTTCCGAAGGCATCATCTGTATGCCATCCAGGATATTTTCTTAGCAAGAAAACCAATTTCTAAGTGAATATCTCAAGGAATATTCTTCTATTCAATGTTTCCTACCCATCACCAGAGAATGGCAGAATACTAATAGTTTTGCT